ATACCTTTTTCCTTAACCTTTGGTTTTATTAAATTAAAATACACTATCTCATTAAAAAGGAAAAAAAAAATGTATGACTTCGTCTCAGATTCTTCGTTCCATTTTTTTTTATTTCGTCCTTGATGTTGTTCCAATTCCTGAGCAAATGGTTGACTGTTGAGGAAAATGTTTAATTTTAACGTATCAACGTTCATTGTTGATCCAGCGCTAGATCGTTCTGCCACAAAGAAGAAGAAGAAAAAAAAAAAAAAAAAAAAAAAAAGTTCTTTTTTTTTTTTTTTTTGCTGGAGATGAGGGAGAATGTAGCGTTTACGCTACTGATTAATCAAGTGTCCAATTTAAAATCGTGGTCACTAAACCCCTCAAGAAATTTCTTTTGACCCGCCAGCGTTCGATTTTACATCGACCTTTCTCTACTCACGCGCTGGAGTGGCTTTGAAAGTGGGGACCGATGGATTTTGCAAAGGTGCCGGCAGTTATGGTCAAAACTCAGACGTGATAATACGCCAGTCAATCCAAGTGACGGAATTGGAACAAATAAAAATAATCTAGGAAGAATAAAATAATATTCAATTAAGTAATAATAATATCTCAGTAAATGTATAAAAATAATTAATTTAAAAAAAAAAAGCAAAATGATTTAAGAGTTCCAATTAAAAAAGGAAGATTTTTTTTGGCGTGTCACGTTCTCCAGTAAGTATATTATTTCATACTTATTACCTCTTTATCATCCACTAAAATTCATGGCAGTCATTGCAGTGTAGTATTTCCTAGAGATTTATTTTTAAGTTCCGAAATAATTTAAATATAAAATTTCCTTGATTTACTTGCCAAGAACAGAAGGTCATTTTTTTTATATAGTCAAACTTAAATTCTGTTTTAGTCCACGTCGTTATCATTAAGTTTTTTGGTTCAATTTTTATTTAACTTTTTTTGGTGAAATATAATAGGTCCTACAATTATTGGACAGCCTTCTATATTTTTGCGCATGTTCATTGCCTGTCATGCCATGGAAATAACTTCATGAATTTTGACATGATGTTGACCTAACCTAATGTTTAATGTTGTGCTTTGGTAAAGTTGAATCCATGCTGCTACAGCTATTGAATCACATTTATTAAACTAATTAATCCTTTTAGATTCCGTCACTTAAATATTCAATATAAAATATATATATACACTTCAAAGTATGGTTAGCAGGTTGCTTATGTGAATCCGTGGATTTTGCAGTAACCCCAAAATATGGGACTTGTCACCATGATGAACTAGTTTTGATGTGCCCAGCTGAGTTTGGAGGGACCTATTGTTATTAAAGATAAGTTGTTGTGACCATTTGCTATTGTATATTTAATTCACTGTGAGCTATTCATATGCATATGAGTGGTTAATATCTTTGATAATTTAATTAATATAAAATATTCGGGGAGGAAAAAGGACATTTTTATAGGTTATTAGGTTAACTAAAGAATTTAGTGAGTCTGACCATAACTCATTTTCTTGGATTTCATGTTATAATACAATACATACTTTGATGTAATAATATTAAAATATTTTGGGGAGGGAAATAAATTTTATGTGGACTTTAAAATAAATAGATAAGGAGTATTGAAAACTCACTTTTAAGATAATTGTAACAGAGTTATCACTGTTGATACCTGTACAATACGTTGATTAGTTTATCAGTTTAGTAGAACTATTTAAATTGAGATTACTAACCTTAGTGTTAAGACTTCGGCTACCCTAACGGACTATTCTTGTTAATACTAATATTTACATTTTATTTGGCCAGTGGTAGTGACTATTTGCTTGTGGAGGGGCTATTAGGTCCCATTTTATCTTTATACCCACTACCACTGTATATTTAGCTTTGCATTATATGTAAATTGGTTATACACATGTATCTATATACATTCTTTTTATAAATATATTTGTTGTTACTATTTTGAGTTTTATTTCAGTTCTACTAACCAGTATATAACATAGCAAAATAAGATTATTATTTAGTTTTTTTTGTATTTCAGGTTACTATCTCCAGATTTATTTGTTACTTCAAAATCTCAACTATCGTTGAGTTGGCGCCCTTCTTTTCTCTTCTTAGTGTTCTCTTTCTATAAATTTATTCCCAGTGACCTTCTTTAGTTATATCACGTTTGACATTGTCAGGCCTCATTTCGTTTCTTGTCTCATTAGCTCATTATCCTTGTTATCTGTTGTATCTTTAAAGCCGCAATCCAGTGCATCGAAGCTAGCCCGAACACTCACTTGAGATTTAGTGTCTCTTTGGCCGTTTAACTTTGTTCCTCTGAGCTTAGCCATATTTTTAATATTTTCCTTCCTTCTCTTTCAGTTCTTCTGAACTTTGTCAATTCACATTTTATTCGTTTCACTAGTACTTACAGACGTTCGAAGATTAGCATACCAGCTTACTATCAGAAAAAAAAGTGGCTCCGAAATATCCTCAGGTGGCATCGCAACCTATCTGTAAGAAAACTGCAGGGGATTTCAATAGAACAGAATAAAAGGTTTTACCCCAGAAAATATCAACCGTTTTTTTGATATTCTGGAACCAGCTATGGAGAAGATAAATTTGAACTCCCTAAGAGTGTATAATGTTGATGAAACAGGTATTACTACCGTACAATCGAATATTGCTAGGGTTATCATCCTAAAAGGAAAAAAACAAGTAGGAGCTGTAACTGCTGCAAAAAGAGAGGCACTAGTAACTGTAGTTACGTGCATGAATGCTGCTGGAGGATTCATTCGTCCCTTATTTGTATTCCCGCTCAAAAATATGAAGGCCGAGCTATTAGACGGAGGTCCAGCTGGGTCAATTGCTAATTGTCACCCTTCAGGATGGATACAGAGCCACATCTTTATGCGATGGATGCAACATTTTATAAGTCATGTAAAACCTTCTAAAGACGATCCCGTGTTCCTCATTCTTGACGGCCATTATAGTCATACACGTAATCTGGACGTTATAGACTTAGCGAGAAAAAATTATATTTCTATTGTTTGCATCCTTCCCCATACGTCACACAAAATCCAACCGTTAGATTTGTGTTTTATGTCTCCATTAAAGACATATTATTCAAGAGAAATCCAAAATGGGTTAAAGAATAATCCTTCATTAAATGTAGGACCCTTTCAGATAAGTTTATTATTCTGCTTTGCTTATCAGATATCTGCTACTCCTGAGATATCAGCCAATGGGTTTCGTAAAGCAGAAATTTTTCCATTCAATCGGAATATCTTTTCAGAAGCAGATTTTATTTTAGAAAAACAAAGAGAAAGAACTCCGCCTCGACAATATACTTCTGATAAGACTTTGCCATTATAACCAAATCGCACCAGTAGCTCAATTCAACTGTCTATTGAAAAACTCCACCGAGGCATCAAATGGGTAGCAGTGTAAAAATTAATCAGTTATCGAACATTGTTAAAGTTCAAGACTTTTCACTTTTACCATCCTGCAGTTAATCCTACTTCAAATAGGGGACGTAAAAGTAGAAGCTAGCATTAAACAAAAACAAAGAAAATAATCACTTAACAATAAAGATCAGTAGCCAAAATTTAGGGTTTTAAAGAAAATTAAAAAGAAGACGATGGTTAAAAATAAAAAGATGAAGAAAGTTAAAGAAGAAAGTGAATCTTCAGATTCCTCAAACGTTCCTTATGATGATGATTCAGATATGGATACCGATCAAGAAAGTGACGCAGAGTGTATTTTCTGTACTGAACATTAGTCAAGTGACCAACATGGTGAAAAGTGGGTACAGTATTCAAGTTGCTTCAGATAGTCACATGAAGAGTGTGCTGGTAGTGACAAAAAGAACACTTACCTGTGTGTTTTTGTATTTAAAAATAGGTTCCCAATTTTGGATAGAGTATCCAATTTTAGGAACATTTTTTTATTTAGAAATTTTAGATTTTTTACTTTTGCCTAATACTTACATAATGATGAAATAAATATTTTAGTATTCATAAGTTGTTTTTATTTATGTTATAGCACATTTTAAGTATAAAAAAATTATTCTAAATTTTTTTTTAACCCAAAAAAATTCAATTAAAAAAAGTATCCAATATTAGGCGCCATTTCTCTAATCGGCAACGTACAGGCACCAAAACATGGCGGTCACATCAAAACTGGCTTCACTTTGCGAAGGTTTATTAAATGAGCGTTACTTGTCATCTCTCTTTCCTTGTCTAAGGTACGCGTCTTATAAAACGGTGTCAATAACAAAAGGGATTTTTCCCACGCATAGAAATTCATAAATACCTATACATGGAACAAAAAATTAAAAAAGCTGAGATCCATTATTGGCTACTGTATAACTCAACAAATATCACAATCAACTACCGTGAATGCAATAGTAAAAAGAGGAGCATTTTCTTGTAAAAATTATTCTGTGACACGCATAAAGGCGGACTCCCACTACTGGTGTATTTGGCAAATATTTGTCACTTGTCTATATTTTCCATGTAGTGGAAGTGGTTCACTCGGCCATTAATTGTATAATTAATTGTCGCATGCGAAGCCTCGTTGGTTGTGGGTCAAAATGCCGCGATTCAAAGGAAATGCAATTATTTGAGTTCTGACAAGTTCATACTTGCCGATGAGCTCCCACTACTTGCCGAATTGGTCGCAATTCATTTCTGCAGTACTCTGTGTTTGGCTTCCGGAGCGCGAGCGTGGTTTGTTGTTTTATATGTTGTTAATATTCTAATAGAGCTTTGTTGTACTTGCTAAGTACTCCAGTATTAGCGTACTTGTCAAATACACGAGTAATGGGAGCGCTGTAATTGAAATTGAGTTCGAAAATCGGTGTATTTGGAAAGTATTCAAATATCGGTGTACTTACCAAATACGTAAATATTTACTTACATAGGTAAGTAAAAGAATATTAAAAGTTTTAGAATAAATATAGATATCGTCATAGATATTATACTCTCAGTAAGCTTAAAAATTGTTCCAGTTATGAATAAATAATTATTCTTACATAATTGACAGCACTGAGTGGGACATAATGGAAAACAACCTTCCCACATTCTTCCCCTGATGGTTTAGGTTGGCATTCGGTGCCAGTAGGAATATAGTATGCTTCGTATGTTGAGGGTGAGTCGATTATGTGTTTAACTCTCTCCTCTAAAACCTGAAAAAAACATTAATTTCATTCAAATTTAAATGAAAATTAAAGTTTAACAAATATAACTTACTTGGCATTCTGTGGGCCACCTAGGTGGTTGGAAGTCGAAAGGTGTGTCTTTATTACAAGAAAACCAGTCCTTTTGTGGTGATTCTCTAATTTTGAATCGAATATCATCTTCTTCGGCAGGGGATTTGATTATAAAATTGGCAAAATAACTAGTAGAATTTGTAGGTTTGATTGGGAAAAGGGTTGCTTGTAGAGACTGCACGTTACCTTCGGGTTCTGAAGACAGAAAATTTGTTATTGCTCATAACAGTATACTCTACAGTAAATCTGTGAAAATATCGATTTTACATAAAAATCTTAATGATCTTAAATCTTGAAAAAGTACAGCTGATGTTGCTTTGTTTTTTTTTTTTTCTCACAAAAAAAAATATTTAGGGAAAGTCCAGGAGAGATGGACTACCGGGAGAGATGGACCAGTCCATTATTTCCGAACTGTGACCATCGTTTGTTGTGAATATGATTCAGTTACAGTGAAGAAGACATGCTGTTAGTTGTGTGGTGTTGTTGTTAATATTTGTAGAGAAAAACGTCATTGTCTGTTTTGGTAAGTCCAAAAGTTTTTTAACGTAGTAACATAGTTTTAGTTTAGGATTCTTGTAACAGTGTCAATAAATATGTAGGTAGTAACCTAACCTAAAAAGGCCGCGATGTGTACGTTAAAAATGCGAATTATGAGGTGGTCCATCTCACCCGGACTTTTGGGAGAGATGGACCTGTGCCCTTATTCTTAAATTTCAGGGAGTAGAAATTGCAAGAGAAAGTGACGTAAAAGTAGGCGTGGCTCCCTAAAACCGAAAATGCTGTATTCTTGAAAAAACTCTCCTAATGTGTGAGAGAAATGTCACTCCCTAAGGGAATAACAATTTCTACTGATAGTCGGTAAGAGAAATTGTAAATGGGAGCGAAAATAACAATACATAAGCTTTCAAAATCCTAGGGAAGTATTTTGTTTTTTAAAAAGCGGAAGTTAATAAAAGATGGATATCAATCATATGCTCTACTGGAATTATATTATGTTTAATGATGTTGTGGAGGCAGTTGAAGATCTTCAAATTGGCCGGGATGTCCTTCAACCAACGGACCCATTTCTTTTGTCAGATAGAAAATTTTTACAAATTTTAAAATATATTTTGGAATATTCAAAGGTAGCAATAGTAGCAGGGTAGCAGTTAAGATTAAACTGCTCAGTACGTTTTGGTAGAGATGGACCACGTATTTCAATACGAGATGGACCAGTACCGACGTTTGTAAATGTTACTTTTATTAAAACGACTTATAGTGTAGTTACCAACTAAGTTTCATCTGTTTCAGAAAAATGCCAACTAACTACGTAATAAGGTGCGTGGACGGAAGATGCAATAATACAAGCAGTTAATGTGGTGGAAAATAAAGAAATGGATGTCAATGCTGCAGCTAAAGCTTATCAAATTCCTAAGACCACTCTTAAAAGAAAGATTAAAAAACAAAAGTTTACGAAGGACAGCTTATGGTTTTCCTCCATTTTAGGAAGAGTAAATGAACAGAAGATTGTAGGCCACATAAAAAAGTTACAAGCTCGTGAGTTTACTCCTTGTAGGGATTCAGTGAGAAGCATGGCGTTTCAAGTTACTGAAGAGCTAGAACTACCTCACAAATTCAACAAGGAAACTAGAAAAGCTGGTTATGATTGGCTAAACTCTTTCGTTTTAAGAAATCCTACTCTTACTATTAAAAAATCAGAAGATGTATCTGTATCCCGAGCTAAGAGAATGAACACGAGGTGTGTGGAAGAGTACTTTAAGTTACTCGAAAGTGTTATTTTGGAAAACAATTTGGTTGAAATACCTGGGCACATTTTTAACATAACCGAAACCGAGCTTCAACTGAACAACAATCCAGGAAATGTTGTTGCCATTAAAGTTTCCAAAAATGTAACTTCCATTACGTCAGGGGAAAAGGGTGAAACCGTTTTTGTTCTAGCTTGTGCTAGTGCTGAAGGTACATTTCTTCCCCTATACTGCATAATGAAGGGCAAGAACTTGAAAGTTGAGTTCATGGACGGGATGCCTCGGCCCAGTTGTCAAATGTCACAAAAAATTTCTTATGTCACTAGTGAAATTTTTCTGCACTGGTTAAAAAGTCATTTCCAACCTCGAAAAACAGCCGGGAAAGTACTTCTCTTACTTGATGGTCACACTTCACACACCGGTTCCTTGGAAGTCCTAGTGTACACGGAGCAAGAATGCATCATTTTGATGAGCATTCCATCCCATACTTCGCACTGGCTACAACCTTTGGACCGATCCTTTTCAAATCACTTAAGTCCTACTTTTATAGTGCTTGTAATTATTTCATTACAAACAATCCACCCAGAAAGATCAATCGTCTGCAGTTTGGAAAACTTCTCACCTCTGCATGGACTAAAGCTGCAGGTGTAAAAAATGGTGTGAGTGGATTTGAAGCTTGTGGCATAGTGGCTTGTCGCCCAATTCCTCCGGTGCAGTGCCTATTGTCCAAGTATTGGTGCACACTCTCGCACCAGCCAGTAAGGTGGATCCTGTTGCGTCCAATGCAGAACTTATCGGCCAACACGTCAATGCTGTAACTAGTGTGCCAACAAGTGACACTGTTGATTCTTCTGTCTCCTGTGCAGTACCAAGAACTCAATTTGATCTTGCTAGTATCCCCAGTACTTCTAGTAGCCTTACAGCGTCAAAAATTACTTATTCTAAACTTCTAGAATATATATCACCCGTCCCTTCTCTCGCAGAAAGTAACCGTTAAGAGATGTTTGACGACTGTTTCAAAAGTATTAAATTCAGCTCAGAACATTGCTGTTGTAAAAAGGAAAGCAGTTGAGCAAGCAATGAAAGATAAACAAAAAAAGAAAAAGAAACAAGATCAACTGAGAAAAAAAATTGAATAAAAAAAGAAGCTTCTCAAGCCAAAAAAGGAACCATTTGGCAAAGTGACACAGTTTAAAAGTTCAGACTCATAAAGCTATGCAGATTCTGCATAGCATCTGCTCAGATTCTGCAGATCTAGTCTAAGATGACGGTATGTCAGTAGAAGAATGGGATGAAGATGAATGTGTGGGATGTGGAGAGGCTTACAATGAAACTAAAAAAAAAGAAGACAGGGTGAAGTGTCTACAGTGTTCTTGGTGGTTTCATGAAGGTTGCTCTAGATTTGAAGTAAAATGTGACTTTTGCGGTACCAGGGAAATAATGGCACAAAAAGTAAGTTTCCCATTAATAGGAAGATTGTTGTCAAGAAAGCAAAAGAATAGACTTGTTTGTTTTTTATTTGGTTATTGTAACATTTATTATTATGTAAAATATACATATTTTTTTACTTTATACTTGGTTTGTAGTCATTGATCCTACTTTTTACCCCTGGTCCATGTCTCCCAAGCTACTGGTCCCAAGAAAAAGAAGCTAATATTTAAAAAAACTGAACATTAGAAAGCACGAATGATGGATATTAAACAGAAAAAAGAGTGAAGACATGAGCAGCATGGTCTATGAAATGATAGCATAAAAAGGTAAACCTATAAAATATAAAGCAAAAAGAAGAATGCGAATAAAAATAGTATTAGCGATATTTTTATGTATGTCAAAAAATACGAAGGACTGTAACATATGACATTTGCAGTTTAAAAAAATTAGAAATAACGGTTATGTTATATATATTTTTTGAAATACATTATTAAAATAATCAATTTTACAATACAACGAACATAATAAAACCCCAAAAGGTCATCCCTATAAATAGTTGTGAGCAAAAATCACCCCAAAATATTATTTTATATCTTATAACTATAGAATGAAACTGCCCACTGACCTTGTTTGCCATTATTTTCGCTTTCCTGGTCCATAGTATCCGCTGGATGTCTTATCGAAGATCACCTTCATTTCATTAATTTTTTCTTGCAAACTTCCAAACGTCTAGTTTTTGGGCAACACCTAAATTTGATAGTGACAAAAGTCCGAGTTATATTTCCATGGTGATGGAAGAAGTGTGGGATCGATGATTCTGAAACCTGTGCGATCAGTGCAGCTTTCCCTTTTTATTCGGCGAATTGGCCATCCAATCCAATCAGCACATCATTATATATGAGCTACAACCTAACAATGAATGTATAATTATATTTTTGGCGTTTAAAAATAATGATAGAATGAAAATAGTGTTTCCTCCCCCTTTTTCTCGTTTTAGTTGTTCATTTGGGGCACAATGACCTCTTTTTGTTGGAGATTGTTATCTAGTCACGTTCGTGCATATCTTGGAAAGGGAAATTAGTTTGAACTGTGTTCCTTAAATTACTTAAATGCCTCAATAAAAGGAAAATGTATGAGATTGTGCATAGAAATTGGTCCACTTTTAACTTTTGACTATATTTTTTTCGGAAATTAATTACTCGGATCAAGACAAAAGGATATACTGTTTGAAAGATAATCTCATACGCTTTAATATGAGTATAAATTTATCATGGATTGCTTATCATTTATACGCATAGCAACCGATAAACATAGAAAAGTGTTTATTTAATGTTTATAATAATAGGTAATAACATATTTTGTCAAAAGGTGGAACAGAATAAAACAAGTCAATGCTTGACTAGAGACGCAGTATCACTTATAATAATAATAATGATTTATATTTATTATTGTTTATTATTATTTAATGATTTATACTTATTATATTTTAAGTGTCTGTTTTAAATTAAAATTTGTTACACTGATTCATGCATTCATATGCATTTACACAAACAAAGATGAGTTCTTTGCTAAAGTTAACGACGAAATTACGAAAATTGGAAATAGAAGAGAATTGGTAGTTATGGGAGACCTGAACAGTAGAGTAGGTCGTAAAGTAGATAATAAGGTGGTAGGTTCCTACGGAGAAATAAACCAGAATGATAGTGGTGCGAGGCTAATTGAAATATGTGAAAACCATCAATTAAAAATAACCAATGGATTTTTTAAACATAGGGATGTACACAAGTGCACCTGGACCCATACTACAAGAAATCTAAAATAAATTATGGACTATGTTATCATAAAACAGAATACTAATATCCAAGTATAAGACACAAAAGCATACAGAGGAATAACATGTAGTTCAGATCATTATGTCGTAAAATCAAAAGTAACCTGTCCATTTAGATATAAAATAATACACAATCAAACAAATTATCAACCCCAACATGAAGAACCTTTGGAAAAAATAAGTTATAATTTGGATAGTTTGACCCAGGAGAGTATAAGAATACTATATCAATAAAGACTGGATGGCAAACTAATGAATATAACTGAAACATCAACAGTAAAGGAGGTATATAAAAACGTAGTCGTTAGCGTTTAAAAATCTGTAGAAGTAGTACTCGGCTCTAACACTCAAAGACAAAGTGAAAAACTATGGTGGAACAAAGAAATAGAAGCACTCGTAGAAGAGAAAAAGCAAGCGTATATCAGATGGCTGAGCAGTAAACAACAAAAAAATAGAGATGAATACCTGGAACTCAAAAGAATAACAAGAAGAACAACAGCAAAAGCAAAAAGAGAAATGTGGGATAAGAAGTGCCAGGAAATTAATACCTACGTGGGAGGCGAAAATGTACAGAAACATGGAAGTTCCTCAGTAAAATAAGAACTGCATTATTATGAACATTAACGAACTGTTCGTTAATGTCTGTGTCACGTTTTACGTTTTGAATCTTGACAAAGGCAAGGGTTTCCTGCCGAAACGTTGATTGATTGCTATGGAAAATAAAATCTAGTTCTACATGTAACATATCTTTATTGAACCTAAACCCAAGAAATTAAAAAACTCAAAACTACTATATATATATATATATATATATATATATATATATATATATATATATATATATATATATATATATATATATATACAATGAATACTGGATATTAGTGACTGTCGATTTAAACAAACCACAAGGTTCATTAGGGCTGCAGTCAGAAGTTTGGCCGGGATATTACAGAAACACTCTTTTGACTTTTGGTCTAGCTTTCGGAATTGTGTAATTCCTTTTTCACGACACTGTAATTAGAAAAGTGTGTAAATATTTACAATATATCACAAAATGTCAGTGAACTTACTAGTCGTTGAGATTATTTGTATAAAGCTATGACACTCAACATTAATAAACATATAAAATATAACTTATAAAATAATGGACAAAATACATTTTAAAATTTAGTTAAAAATAGTAAAAATTCGTTTGCTACATCTTTTAATGGTGAGTTTTAACTGATCCATAGAGAATAAAAAAAAAACAAAAATAGTATGATTAAAAATTCATTAGGAGTTCTTCATATTTTATTAATAGAATGTAATGTATTAAACCTGTGTTGATGGTATGCAACCTGATTAGCATGCAGGTGTATTATGGTGTGTATATGTACAAGTAAGTTTATATGTCATTTTTTATGTTTAGTCAGTAAATAACAATAAATGTTACTCAGTTTGTCTATATCAGACTTTTTATTTTTACAACTGACATCGACATTGACACACAACACATCAGAGCTACCACAATCTAAAATAAAGTATGGTTGCCTACCCTATATTCCAGTCCTAACACCTAAGCTAATGAACATTTTCAAAAATGTTAGTGGCTTAAAAATTGCAACTAAAAATATGAAAACGGTATCGAAGTTGTACACAAAGACAAAGGATCCTTTCACAATACTGTGTGTGCTAATTGCAAAAACGTATACATTAGTGAAACATCTCATAATTTTCACAGTAGGGTGATCACAGCGACATAAAAACCAAAAAAATTAACGCATGCGCGTTGACAGAACATGTATTAAGTTTAAAACATGAATTTAATTTCAAGGAATCCTGTAGTTTGGCAAGGGAAAATAACCATTCTAAACGTGTTTTCTTGGAAATGTGTTTAATAAAATCCAATACTTCTTGTATAAATAAAAAGTCTGATATAGACAAACTGAGTAAGATTTATTGTTATTTACTGACTAAACATCAAAAATGACATAAAGACTTACTTGTGCATATACACACCATAATACACCTGCATGCTAAACAGGTTGCATATCATCAACATAGGTTTAATACATTACTTTCTATTTATAAAATATGAAGAACTCCTAAAGACAGTTTTACATTATGCTATTTTCATGCTAGGCAAGAGCCATGCAAGACAGATCATGGAACTGCGCATGCCCACGGGCTATTTCCATGCAATTCCTGTGCTAGACGAAAAATTAGAACATGTTCTATTTTTCATGCTATTTTCTTGCAATTTATCGTTAAAATTCATGTTGTCAACATAACAATTTATAATAGATTACAGAATAAAACATAACCTTATCTCTATCTTTAGCGTCCCTTAGCCCACGTGTGTATTGTTGTGTTTTGTTTTAAATTAAGTTTATTAAGTGGTGATAAATAGATATACTAATTTTTTTTTTTTTTTCATACGTCTAAGTTAATGTAAAAACGACTGGGTGAGTCGTTAACTATGGATGATTGTTGCTACAACAGCAATATTCAACAACAACAATGTTTCTTTTTTTTTATTTGACATCCTTCACCCTTTTAATAATCATAAATAGTGTATATTTCTTTATTATATTATTTATTTTAGTACCATATTATATTTATTTAAAATAAAATAACCTCAAATTGATACATATTTTCTCTGTTGGCAACAATGAAAGTGGGATCTAAAATTGCACAGAAATATCTCTGATGTAAAAAGGTCAAGCTAGGCAAGATATGTGCCATGCAAGACGGACTTGCATAGCATGAGACTTGCATAGCCTAGATGTAAAGCTGCCTTAATGAATTTTTAATCATACTATTTTTGTTTTTTTTATTCTCTATGGATCAATTAAACCACACCATTAAAAGATGTAGCAAACGAATTTTTACTATTTTTAACTAAATTTTAAAATATATTTTGTCCATTATTTTATAAATTATATATTTTTTTTAATAATAACAGACCGCATACCCGATATTCCAACACAATAAATTGTTATTTACGTTTCGGTCGATAATCTTACCAGTTTTGATATATATATATATATATATATATATATATATATATATATATATATATATATATATATATATATATATATATATATATAATGACAAAAACTTAGTATTCAGTTTACTTCTATAGTGGACAAAAGTGTATTAATATTTTGCGAAGATGTCAAAAATTCCAAGGTTTTCACTCATCGAGTCATCCAAAAATTTAACCATCAACCTGTTACCTATATTTACATTTTTTCTATCTAACGATCCATCATGGTCAAAATGTCATCACACGAAATATTTTTAGCTTCTTATTAATTTCTCTTGGCACTTATTTGGAGATTGTTTACCCTTATAAAAGTTATTTTCGGAGGAAGTAGGTAGTATATTATCCCGAGAAGCCAAATGTAATGTCTTTTCGTGATATTAAATACGTATTTTTAATTTTTAATTATCAATCGGTTGTGAAGTATAAATATTAAATATTCTGCCCACGGCATTGGTTGAAGTTGAGAAAACAGGCAAGTGCAGTTTATTGCTGGATCGATTAGCAAAACACAATTTATTATTCGCATTAGACTATGAAAAATATTTCATTTATAGATGCATATGTTTTGGAACATTGTATCTTTTTTCGTAATAGGCCAATGCCTGAGGACTTGTAGAAAGTATATAAAAAATATTTTATAAATGAAAGCGGTTTTATTGCTGTATTTCATCTATGACTTGGATCTTGGAATCAACTATTCTTTTTGCATCCCTTTTAAAGTGTTTAAAAAGGGATGAAAACAATATTTTTTATCTTTTCTTCTTTTTCTCTCCATGCCATGTCCATTACTGAACCTTGGCTATCATATCGGCAATCATATTCATCTCTTGTGCGGTCATTCGATACTTATTTTACCACTTAGTGATTGGTCTATTGTTTTTTTAACAGCTTTTTGCGTAACAGAAAATTTTAATTTCATTATTCCCCAATCTGTATCATTTTTCTTTATTGACGCTCTTTATCTATGATTAGATTGAATAGAACAGGGCTTGATGAATCTTCCTGTCTTATCCAATTTTCTGTATCTCTAGGTATCAGTCGTTT